TGTGAGTTCCTCGAGCAATTTAGTAATTTCGGGAGTAGTCCCCGATTCTTGCTCATTTGGCTTATTTGGTTCCGTTCTGTGGGTGACTTTTCGAAGCGGATTGGGCTTCGGCTTGCTTTGTACCTGAGTTTGGCTCTGCAACTGAGCTATCGCTATTTGCTGGGCTTGCTACATCTCGAAGATCATCTGTAAGCTGACTCTGATCTCCTCCACGTTATGGGTGTCTCGAGCTACGGATCGAGTGCCACCCTGAATGCTCATTTCCGGTTCGGAACACTGATTCGTCTCTAGAGCTATTTGTGAATTGACATCCAATGATACTTCGGCTCGAATTTCGGGTGCTTCGATTCGAGCCTCAGCGCCTTCATCGAGTGGCCTTCCGGCCCCGGGTGCCAAGTTATTGATTTCATCTTGAAGGCCGGCTTCGTGGTCGATAGGTGAAGCCATTACTAATTTGAAGTTGCAAACTGGCGTGTACTTTAGGTTCATATCAAACGATCACTGTTACCCTTAGCCCCACGGTGGGCGCCAAACTGTTTACCGAAAAAATCGGATAACGTTAGATTTGTGAATGGTTCTAAGGATATGCGATACAATTTGATATAAATCGCGTAGAGAAATGGAAATATGTGTATTGTTGACTGTAAGAACGAAAATCATAAGCAAAAAGAATGAATAAGTAAAACAAGCACAAGGGGATTACTATCAATATAAGAAGTGATCTTTTTTATGCTCTGCCCTCTCTAGCTTACAAGGATTCCCCTTTTATAGAAGAGGGTTATTACCAAAAAATAATAAAATAAAACATGTAGTGGAAGATCCATGATGACTAATTCCCGCCAAGATTCTCTTCTTGGTGTGGTTACAACGGCTCTTGTCTTGTGAGCTCGATACTAGCTCGAACTCGTTACTGGGTCGGGCCCTTCGATCTTGGATCGAGTTCGACCTTCGAGATGGGCGTCGCACATTTCCGATCTCGAAGCAGTGCCTTGCGGATCGATTCAGTCACAGGCTCGATAGGATTATCGAGCCGCCTCCTAGAGCGACCTTCGGGCTCGAGGTTCGTTAGTACCGACCTCAGAGCTCACTCCCAAAATCTCATTCCGATTTCTTAACACTCGAACTCGATCGAACATAAAAAGGCCGATATCTATTTCGACCGTATACACCCGTGTTAAAATCGGGAATGATCACTTTGATTTGCCTTTTGAATTGCAATTATAACCACCGCCATTACTATTTATAAACAGGGTCCAACCGTGTATTTAGGATTGACGAATTATTAAAGTCTGGAATTACCAAACCAAATTACAGGGATTCCAGTTATAATACAATTTTGTGGAATTTGATAGAAAAATTATTTAGAATATTCAAAATATTCTGTCTATCTTTTTGTCATCTTACAAATTGCAGGAGCGCCAGTTTAGAAGTACATGTGCTTCTTAAGTACTCAAAAGTTGATCGGGCAATAATATATATAGTAATTGAATGAAGAAAAAGGAAGTAATGACATGGGAAAAAGCCATTATGGTCTCCTTCTAGTTGGTCATGTGTTGTCCCTTATTTTATTTTGGTGGCTTTTATGTCCTTTAGTTTGTTGTCCCTACACCCTAAAAAGAAGGTTAAACTTAAACCCCCACAATCTTTGACTGATCAATAAATAGTTCCCATGAGTCAACTCAAAACTCAGTGTCTTTTGTCTTTGTCTGTCAGTCCTTGTGATCACAACCTCCAACTGGGATCAGACAATGTGAACTTTGACTTTCATATCCTCTATCTTCTTTCCTTTGCCTATTGCTACTGCCACTCTCTTTTTGTTCAGTTTAACAGTTATATCTCTAATTATTTAGAGGAAATTCCTTGGACTATTCTTATGTCTTGGTGGATTTGTTCTCATTGCACCATTTCATTTTTATATTCACAACCAAACAAATCCTTATAAGCTCCACTGACAGTACTATATTATCTTAATCAATGAATCTTTGTAATAAGTGACCACTACAATATTATTTTAACATCTTTTAATAACCTACCAACCTATCTAACCATATCTATAGTCTACTAACTCTAATGAAAAATTTGAGGACTCACCTCTTTGTCTGTTCGCAGACCGAAACTTGAGACAGTGGCAGCTTTTATGCATGTCTATCCCCCTCGACACAAAAAACTAGGAAATAAACAATATAGTTTGATCAATCCTCAAAGTTCTACTTTCACATTCCCTAATTTCAAAGCAGTGTGGCATAAACAAAACCCGTTATTCTGCTTCTATTCAATCCCTAAATTTAAAAAGTTTTAGGTTATATACTTTAAATAATTTGTAGTAATACTTTAACAGATTAATGAATATTTTGTCAGATTATAAATTTTATTTGTTACAAAAATTTATCTATAATTATCTTATAAATAGTGATGGAGCTAGAAATCTTACAAAAGAATTTAGAACAGTAAGAATATGTCACATCTAAGATTTGAACGTGTACTTATCTTAGATCAAGGATATTCAAAAATTTATTTATGAATAAAAGAATTATTCTATTTTGTTTACATAATATAATTTTTGAGGAACCTCTTTCACTGCATAAGTTAAATGATTTCTTTTATTCTACTCAATAAGAATAACAACAACAATAACAATAATTCCAGCATAATTCCACGAGTAAGATTCAAGAAGAATAGTGTATACGTATATCTAACTCTTGCTCTATAATTGATCTTATTGTACAAATACCTTTAAGGTTTATATAACGATAAATTAAACCTATTAAAAATATGTAAAGAGAAACCCTAATATATTTAACTTGAAACCGTACTATATATATGCACGTTAGCTTTCTCACTTCAGAAGTTCCAGAAAACATACAAATCAGGTAAATGGAAGAGGGAATGTCAGGGTTTTCGGTGAGGGCACGCGGTGGTTGTGGCGGCGGAGGAGGGACAAAGTGTGGGCGGTGGAATCCCACGAATGAGCAAGTAAAAGTACTAACTGACTTGTTCAGGTCAGGACTCCGTACCCCAAGTACTGATCAGATACAAAAAATATCTTCCCAACTTAGCTTTTATGGAAAGATTGAGAGTAAAAATGTCTTTTATTGGTTCCAAAACCATAAAGCTCGGGAAAGACAGAAACGTCGCAGAGTTTTGGTTGATGAACCAAAAGATGATGGAATCCACTTCTCCTGCCAAGACAATAATATCACTTCAACCAAACGTGAGTTGCAAAATCACCTATTTTTTTCCTTTCGAGCAACGACAAAGTTGTTTACTGAGTGACCTATAGGTCACGAGTTTGAATCGTGAAAGCAGTCACTACGTTTGTATTAAGGTTGTATTAAGGTAGGCTGCTACATCATCTTTCGAGATGTAGTCCTTTCCCGGACTTTATATAATGCGGGATACTTTGTGCATCGAGTTGTCTGATCACGTTCTCTCGAGCTTAATTCTTTTTCATTAGTCAAATATTTAAAAAGTTTTTTTTTTTTCTTTTTTTGCTTTTTGGGTGGTAAGTTTTGAACTCATGAACCTATTGCATAATGTCTGTGATAATTTCATATAAAAGTTTAGAATGTTTGAGAAAGTTATATTTAATTACTTAGTTATATGAAGTATGTCTTAACACTATGTATTGTTCTTTGCAGATTTTTCAGAGATATACAATTATAATCAAGGGTCCGAACAACCAGAAAGAGTAAAAGAGACTCTGCAACTCTTTCCACTGAATTCGTTAAGTGAATCGGAGTCAGAGAAGCTAAGGTTTTTCGCAGAAGAATGCAAAGAGAACGCGGCGTTTTCATACAATATTGGGGCAGAAATGGATCATCCAACTTTGGATCTGCGTTTAAGCTTCCTGTGATTAAAAAAAACTTATGGCGTACTTTTTATTCCGAGCAGTAGAAACATATTTCTAGTATTTTTATGCATGGTTTTTGAGCTTTTAGGTTTTAGCATGAACATAAAATTAAGATCATTAGTACTAGTAAGAATAGAAAATAGTAATGGCAGGTGGGGCTGAAAGTTTGATGTGATGAATTTGTAAAATGCACGTCGCTCAAGAAATTGAATTGAAACTTGTAATATGCTTCGACATTCTCCTCTACATGCTCATGCCGACTTTGTTTTATTACTCTCTGTGCTTACTCTGCCAGATATTTTATGAATTTTTCACTTTGTTCGTATAAATGTGAACGCTTGGAAAATTGGACTTGTGCTTCTTCTCCCAAGGAGTAATACTATTTCCATGCAAAGTAAGCAAAGCCGTCGTTTCACAATGGCTCGGTTTCCCAGATTGTGAATTGAATACAAGAGAGGCTTATCTTGCCAAGGAACTTGGTTGAAAAGCAAGTTAAAATTTGACTGTTTCCTAATCGCCATGAATACTTAATTGTTTACTTTAATTTCTTTGTTGTAGTAAAGCCAAGATTGTTGATGACAACATAGTCAAGCAAGATTACCGTTCAAATTTCTTTATAGTTACAGGAGATAATGTTCAAATTTATCCTTGCACTATTTAAAATTGAGTAATTTTACCATACAGATAAACTTTGTCTGATATTGCCCATGCAGTTTGAAAAAACCTTCGTTTTTGCCCTTGACCCTCGAGCTCCAACTTGAGGGTAATTTGAAACCATAATCAAAAGTTATCGGTTAATTTGGATCTCTTTTCTAGAAGGTACATTTGAACACGTGAAATCCACTCATTTTATTACCGAAGCTTCATATGCAAATTTGAGACGATTTGGTAACAGTATCAGTTGACCGAAAGTATAAGCGATAATAATTGCAATTTTGAATAGTATAAGGATAAATTTGAAAATTATCCCAAGTTACAAAGCAAAGATTATTTTTTACGTTACAAAATTTGGAGCATGTAAGAATAGGACTTTGGGTTGTTCTTATCGTTGCTCTAAGCAATAACATAATTTAGCGCAACTTGAGCATAACCGTAACATCATGGAGAAGAAGATACTTTATCCAGTAGAGTGAGCATCTCGCAGTGCGGTATCTTTTCTTAAAGAAGTTTCTTTTTCCTATCTCCATTTGCGCATTGTTGCTTCTTAAAAGTAAGCAGTTGAACGTTTACTTATCTATTTGATTAAGACGGGAATTAAGTAGAAGGACGAGACGCAGTACTACATTACTAGAAATCTGGCCTGTGACAACGGTTCCAAAACTGTTGATAAATGATAGGAAGCTGCAACAAAAGTTCTACTGCACTCCCTGCGTTTTATTGTGTATGTCTTTTCTTTCCTTTTGATATGTTTTCAAAGATAGAACTCCCTTCATTTCAATTTATGTGAACCCAACCCATTTGACTGGACATAAAGTTTAAAAAAAAAAAAAAAGACTTTTGAACTTGTGGTATAAAATGAGGCACATATATTTTATGTAACTATAAATCATTTCATAAAGGTATAGGGAAAGGGATCATTCTTTTTGGCACGGACTAAAAAGGAAATAGGTTCATATAAATTAAAACGAATGGAGTATATTTTGCATTTAGTAAGTTTTTAAATTGTACATTATCATTATAAATTTAATGACACTTCATTATAGGTATGACTTTGTATATTTAGGATGACAAGATTCAAATAAGTAGTACTCCCTCCATTTCAATTGATGGGGTAGTTTGATTCGTCACGGAGTTTAAGAAAAAGAACAAGACTTTTAAAACTTGTGGTCTTACAAGCTCAAGGGGTACAAGCTTTGTGGGCCCATGACATTTATAAGGTTATAAAAGCTTCTCATTAATGGTAAAATAGGTAAAATAAAGAGTTTTAAATTGAATTATTTTTAAATTTAGAAATGTGTCATTTATTTTGGAACAGACTAAAAAAAAAGTACTTCATCTAATCTGAAACGGAGGGAGTACTTTTTAATATGTTATACACACATTTAATTTAAGATCATAAATTTTAAAATCTTTTATATTTTAAAACTTTATACCATTTAAGTATGATACAAAAATTGAAATAGATGAAATAATGATATGGAAGTTTGTCTTATTGCTCACCATCGCTATAACGATAATGCAACTATTCTTTGCAATGGCTAAAGCATCAATGAATTAGATACACTTATTGCAACGGTGAACCATTATTTATTTACATTGATTAATATGGGCGCATGGATCTCTTCGACCTGTTGCAATATCACTAGATGCAACTTTTAATTGTCAAACTAAAAGAACAGAAGTGTTTTAATAGCATATTATATAACCGTTATATAATATGATTATGCAACAATTTAGTGAGAGAAAAATTGTTTTTGGAAAAATCACTCCTTAACTAAACATTAAAAAGGAAAATATCATATTTGAAGTACTGGTGTAAACGAGTCATGTACGTTTTCTCTCGGCGCACGTTTAGTTAGGGTTTACTAACGTGCACCATCTACGATGACTCACCGAAAAAGACGAGGGACGACGACCCCTACCTCACCTAAATCGCAAGCAGTAACGGCTAGGCAAATAACCCTTGAATCTGGTATTCCACCGAGTCTAGCACCTCGACTCAATAGATGACAGGAATGGGGAGTGCGCCAACGATTTTGAAAGGAAAACCTTCGACATCGGAATTAGAGAGTCTATCGGAGGAAATTGGAACGGAGAGTGCCCCAATTCTTCAGCAAAAGGTCCCTATGATGCAAGCACCAGAAGTATTGCCGGAATTGGAAGCTAATGCCTCGACAACGGCGAGGAAGTTATCCTTTTTAGTTAAAGGGACTGTTGATACACCTACCATGGTTGACATTGTCAAAGGAAATAGAACTCAGCAAACGGGTATGAAAATTGATTATTTCCCCCATGTTTTAAAAGATGGAGTCAAAGTGGCTAGGTTAAACTTAGCAGAGATAAAGGAACAAAGCAAAAAATGGAAATCGACTTTGATTGGCTATGTTATAGGAGGTAATCCTTCATTTAAGGAGGTGCTGAAAAATGATTATGGAGTTTGGAACTTTGTCTCTACTCCACAGCTATTTCTGCATAATGATGGTGATTTCATCTTCCGATTTGAGAATGAGGAAGACAAGAACACAGTCCTAAGGTCTAGACCCTATACGTTCAATTACAGACCCCTGATATTGAAGCAATGGGACCAAGATTTTCTAATGGAGAATGAACCAGCTCAGGTCATCCCTCTGTGGGTCATTTTTCCTAATTTGCCAATTCAATATTGGGCGACAGAGAATCTAGGAAGATTGACCAGCTATGTGGGAAAACCTATATGTGCGGATAAGCTAACTTCACAAAGGGCTAGGGTGTCCTATACTAGAATACTCATTGAAGTTGATGTCTCCCAACCCCTGCCTAATGAGATACCAATCGAAATTCCTAATAAAGGGGAAAGAATGCAAGTTGTGGAGTATGAATGGCGACCTCTATATTGTCAAGACTGCCTACAAGTTAGCCACCAGACATGGACTTGTAAGACAGTACCTGCAGTTCATGACACTATGTAGAAACACAGCAGACTAAGAAGAAGGGGCAGAAGAAGCAGGAATGGAAACCAAAACAACCAGTACAACCTAAGGAGCCTGTACCAACAGTTGTGATCCCAAAAGTGGTAAACCAAGTAGATCAGCTATCCTCCTCTTCAATTGAGGATGAACAAGGTCAAATCCAATTGAAAGATAGAGGGAAAGCAAAGATAGATCAAATTCAACAGCCTTCACAAACTGAGACTATGGAAAGGATATTGACTCAAAATAGGTTCAGTGCTCTTAGAATTCAGTCAGAAGTAACCACTAATACAGTGGGAGGGACATCCACTCCAATGAAACAGAACCCCCCATGATTTTCGGATCATGGAATATTAGGGGGCTGAATAAGCCCTTCAAGCAGAAGGAATTTAAATCCTTCATGCTTACAAATAAAGTGGTTGTAATGGGGTGTCTGGAGACTAAAGTTAAAGTTAAAGGGGTTGAAAGGGTAAAGAGGAAGCTAGGAACAGAGTGGGAAATTGTAACTGATTACATCTCAACTCTAAATGGAAGAATCTGGGTATGCTGGAAGCCATCACTTGTAGAGGTCAAAATCCTAATGACTGGTAGCCAAATTGTCCATTGTCAAGTTAAGGACAAAGGGTCACAGTTTAGCTGTCATACCACCTTTGTATATAGTTTCAACACAGTGTCATGTAGAAAGAAAATCTGGCAACATTTGAGGTTGATCAATACTACTATGACTGAACCGTGGATAGTATTAGGAGACTTCAACACAATTTTGACAACTAACGATAGAATTAATGGGGCACTTGTACAACAGGCAGAGATGCAGGACTTCCAGGATTGTGTTGAAGATATAGGGCTTGGTCAAATCTGTAGAAGAGGGTGCAAATATTCCTGGTCTAACAAGCATGTTCCTGAAGATAGAAATTACAGCCTCATAGATTGGGCAATTGGTAATCAGTACTGGTTCAACAAATACAACTCCCTTGTGGCACATTATTACCAACAGGGATGCTCTGATCACTTTCCAATTCTAATATCTACTGAGGTGGCTAAACATACACTGCCTCGACCTTTCAGACTCTTCAATGTCCTGCTCAAACAGGAAGCATTTGCAGCAGCCACTCAGTCTATTTGGAGACAACAAGTACCTGGTCACATTATGTATGCAATATGCAAGAAGCTAAAACTCCTTGAAATTTTTGTGACCCAAATGAATAGAGAAGTGTCCAAGTTGGACCACAGATTAGAGCAACTACATGGTAAGCTTCAAGCTGTGCAAGAGAAGCTAGAAATTGATCTATATAATCCTCTCCTCAACAAGGAAGAAAAGAAAGTCCTAGTAACTCTGGAAAAATGGTCAGATATTCATGAAAGGGTACTTAGACAAAAATCTAGAGCTACATGGTGACAGTCAAGGTGTGACACTAACTGACCATGACAGAGTACAAAATGAGTTTGTCAATTTTTTCCCTTCTGGGCACTAGTGTTGCAGAACTACCAAGTATTAACATCAACATTGCAAAGGATGGACCATGTCTCACTAGAGTGCAACAGTTGGAGCTTATAAAGCATGTCACCAGTGAGGAGATCACTCAGGTCCTCAAAGATTTACCTAATGATAAAGCCCCGGGAATTGATGATTTTACTGCTGAATTCTTCAAAGAATATTGGAGCATTATAGGGGATGATATAACACATGCAGTAGTGCAATTTTTTGAAACTTGTAGGCTACTCAAAGAAACCAATAGTACTACAAGAACATTGGTTTCAAAAGTAGCAAATCCTACATTTGTGAAAGAATTCCGACTAATTGCCTGTTGTACAACTCTTTACAAGATAATAGCAAAAGTTCTTACTACTAGACTCAAACTAGTTGTGGACTACTAGGTTGGATCATCACAGTCTGATTTTATAGCAGGGTGGAATATCTTAGATAATGTCATAGTGGCACATGAACTTGTCAAAGGATATTCCCAAAAAGGTTTGTTTCCAAGATGTTTGGTGAAAGTGGATATAAGGAAAGTATATGATTCTATTGAATGGGGTTTTTTAAAAGCAATTCTGGTGGAGTTTGGTTTTCCAGGGAAGTTTATCAACTTAATCATGGAGTGTATTTCCACAGTGAACTACTCTATTCTGATCAATGGGGGCCTTACTCCTAAATTCAAGGGGAAAAAAGGACTAAGACAAGGGGACCCAATGCCCCCTACTTGTTTGTGCTGGCAATGGAATATCTAAATAGATCTTTGAAGAAATTGAGACACAACCCTGACTTTAATTACCACCCTAGATGTGGTAAGCTAAAGTTAGTGCACATTTGTTTTACGGATGATCTGTTAATGTGCTGTAGGGCAGATGAAATTTCTATAAGATTGATGTTTCAAGCATTCAATCACTTCTCTGACGCCTCAGGTCTTAAAGCCAATCAAGAAAAGAGTTCCTTGTATATAACTGGAGTCTCAAGCACTGAAGGAGCAGATTTTATCTGAGATGCAGTTCTCATTAGGGGAGATCCCATTCAAATACCTTGGAGTACCTCTATATTCTCGGAAGATCAACATACATCAATGTCTTCCACTGATAGAGAGGATGACAGCCAGAATCAGGTGCTGGTCAACAAAATTCTTATCATACAGTAGTAGAGTGCAGTTAATCAAGAGTGTGCTATTTGAAATACAAACTTACTGGGCTCAAGTATTCCTACTGCCAAAAAAGGTGCTACAACTATTCACTAGTGTTTGTAGAACCTTCTTGTGGACTGAGAATGCTCAAGCATCTAAAAGAGCATTAGTGGCTTGGGAGACCTTGTTCCTTCCTACTTGACTAAGTAGTATTCCACTCGTGCAGTGGGTGTATGGGCTAGCCCATGGTACGGGGGGTCTAAACATAATTGATTTCTTCACATGGAATAGGGCAGCTATATGTAAATTGCGTTGGGCAGTAGCATCAAAAAAAGACACCCTTTGGGTCAAGTGGATCCACAACTTCTATATAAAAGGCAAAGAACTGAGTAGTATGAAGACTCTACAACAAGCATGCTGGATTGTAAGGAAGATAATTGATGGTAGACAGTGGTTACTAGGTGGTGACCCTCAACATGAATTGCAGAAATTTATCCAAAGAGGAAAGTTTAGTATCAAGAAGGCATACCTATCTCTCAC